AATACCACTCAGTGGGATCAGGATTTTTGACTTGGAGATGGGTTGGTTGGATGTGATTGGGGGAGCTGGGTGAGAAGCGAAACTGGATGATGCCCCCAATCTCTGGTTTGGGCAACTGGGTGAGTGGGAAAGATTTTTGAGCACCTGCTCTGTGCTGGGAACTGAAGCAGAAGAAAGACCTGGGATGCCCCTGGCCCACAGAGCTCACACTCCAAATAAATGACTACAGTCTATATTTTCGTGCATTCCGCAAGGGTAAAGCAGAGTGCATGGCAGAGAATCACAGAGGGAAATGACCTCTCAGGGGAGGAGGAGATGACTTGAGCTGAGTCAGAGAATTAGAAAGGCACCAGCCAGGAAGGTGAGTCCCAGGAGAGATTCCAGCTAACGCACAGGTCCTGAAGGGTGGAAGGGGCAGTGCAGCTGGGGTGTCTGTAGTCTTAGCTCAGAATGGCTTCTACCAAGGGTCCTGTTTGCTTGGTAAATGCCTTTTCTTCCAATGCCAAGCTCAGTCAACTCAAAGATAATGCAATGAAAACAATAAAAAAATATGAAAAGGCAATCACCTTAACCGTGCATTGACACAACAGAGAGATACCATTTTTTTAAATCCTCACCCGAGGACAATTTTTTGCATTTTATCTTCAGAAAGAACACAGGGAGCAAGGGAGGAAGAGAGAGAGAAACATCAATGTGAAAGAGACACATTGAGTGGTTGCCACCCGCATGACCAACCAGGGCCGGGGACAAACTGCAACCGAGGTACATGCCCTTAGTGGGAACCGAACCCGGGTCTCTCAGGACCGCAGGCCGACGCTCTAACCGCTGAGCCAAACCGGCCAGGGCTAGGAAGGCTTCCTTGATTGTCACAGTTGATACAGATAATTGCCCCCCTTAATGCCTGGGGCTCCTGTCTGTGCCACCTAACTCCATAGACTTTGGGTTGTCATAGTTGACCCGGAAGTCAGTTGTTCCCACCAGACTGTGACCAGTTCCAGGGAAAGGCCCATCTTTGCGGCCAGCAGCCAGCCTGGGCCCTGCACTGGAAGACAGCCGTAATGAATCTCCTTATTTATCCCCTTGACCTTTACAGATAGTATTTTTAGGTCCGTTCCAGCTTTTATTTATTTGTTTGTTTTTAAATATTTTTTCTTTATTGATTTTAGAGAGAGGAAGGGAGAGAGAGCTAGAGACACTGATGAGAGAGAACATCGATTGGGCCCACAACCTGGGCATGTGCCCTGACTGGGAATCGAACCAACGACCTCTTGGTGCATGGGTCGACATTCCACCACTGAGCCACACCTGCTGGGCCCCACCTCCTTACTTTGAAGGTTTTCTTCTTCCTCTTCCCAACCTTGATCACATTCTTTCCCTTGACATGTCAAAACACCTATCAAGTACAGACCCACAGAGAGTAGGTTCTGCCCCAGTGAAACAAAAAATTGCACCCCTCCCGTCCCCAATAAAGGTGGATTTGTTCTGATGTACTTGGGCCTCCTTCCAGATCACTGGCCAGGTCATTTGTTCAGCCTCTGCCCACCTCCTTTTAGCTCTGATCAAGTCCAAGTCCTGTTTGTAGTCTGCAGTCCTGGAATCCAGGTGGCTGCTTTGGTGGCTTTGCATATCTCTTCCTTCTAAGACTACGTGATAACCTTGTGTTTAGATGTGCGCAATCTAATCTTTTTGTTTCTGAGAAACTTGGGAACCCTCTTTGACTCCTATTCTCTCACTCCCCACGTCCATTTGACCACAAATGATACTAAATTTTTACAAATCAAGCTACTTCATCTCCATGGCCACCATTTTAGTGGCCATCACCTCCCAGGTTCCCTTGCGCTCACCCTCTAATACTTTTGCATTCTACGGCCAGAAAGGTGTGTTTTTGTTGTTGTTGTTTGTTGTTTATTTGTTTTTTATGTAATTTGAGCCAAGGCACTTCCCTCTTAAAAGCCTTCAGCTCTGCCCTTTGATCTCAGGATAAAGTCCACACTGTTTCAAGCCTCCCAGAGCAGGCTGCATTTTCCACCTCCCCCAGAGTGGGGGAGTTCTCAGCTCCAGCCCACTCCCTGCTCAGGGCCTTTACACAGGCTGTTCTGTCTCGTTTGCACTCCAGTGACTCTCCTCTCTTTGCACAAATGTAGCTTGGTATAATGACAATTGACATGTATACAAACAATTCACAAGTATTTATGTGTACTAGCTTTTTCTCACAATGACACAGTGGGAAACCTGACAGTGAGAGATGTGAACTCCCTTGCTCAAGGTCATACAGAAGCAAGCTTCTCGCTATGAGGACAGGGACTGAGTGGGCTCTGCTCGTGGGTGCCTAGTATTCACTTGTTATTTAATGAGTATTTATTGAACATTGAGTATGTGCCGTGTTAGGCACTGTTCTGGGTTTCTGCTCTCGTGAAGCGTGTAACTATATAATGGGGGGAAAGACAGGCACCAAACAGGTAAACACATGTATGAGCAACATTATTTCAGGTAGAAGTAAGAGCCTTGAAGACAGGAAGACAGGCTGGTGTTGAAGGCGTTGGGAACAGGCCTGCCCCAAATATGCCACTTTGTCATGTGAATCATTTTGAGCCAAAGCAATTGATACCCTGTGTGCTCACAAGAAATTTTTACCCCTTCCCTTAAAGAATCTAATTTTGGAGCCTGCCCATAATAAGAGTTATCACCAGAAATAACTTCTTATGACCTATCTATAGGGCAGGGAAAACTTCTAATTACCAAACATCTGTTCTTATCATCTTGCTAATGACCTTGCTCCCCTAGAAAGCCCCAAGGTGCCTTACCTCATCCCTAGCTCAAAATACTATATATAGCCCTGGCCGGTTTGGCTCAGCGGTTAGAGCGTGGGTCTGTGGACCAGAGAGTCCTGGGTTCGGTTCCCGCTAAGGGCACGTACCTCTGTTGCAGTTTGTCCCCAGCCCTGGTTGGGGTCATGTGGGTGGCAACCACTCGATGTGTCTCTCACATCGATGTTTCTCTCTCTCTCTCTTCCCCCTTCTCTCCCTCCCGCTCTATCTGAGGATAAATGCAAAAATATCCTCAAGTGAGGATTAAAAAAAAAAATCGTATATACCTCATTTTGCCTGTCTGTCTCTGACCCATGTGTGTGTGGTTTCTGCATGTATGTGTGTAATTAAATTTGTTTATTTTCACTTGTTAGTCGGTCTCATGTCGATTTATTAGACCAGCCAAAAAAACCTAGAAGGGTAGCCAGGCTGTGTGGCTCAGTGGATTGAGCATCGTCCCATGGACTGAGAGGTCCTGGTTCGATTCCCTGTCAGGGCACATGCCCAGGTTGCAGGCTCAATGCCCAGTAGGGGGCAAGATGAAGGCAGCCGATCACATCGATGTTTCTATCTCTCCCTTCCTCTCTCTCTAAAAAAAAACAATAAAAACATATATTTTAAAAAAAAATAACCTTGCCTTGGCCAGTTTGGCTCCACAGTTAAGCGTCTGCCTGCGGACCAGAGTCCCAGGTTTGGTTCCCACTAGGGGTATGTACCACAAAAAAAATAAAATAAAAATAACCTAGGAGGGTAGGGGAAAGTTCCTTCCTTCCCCAGAGTTGGTGCTGTGAGCAGGATACTTTGCCAGCTGGGCACTGCTCACCCTGAACTGCTGCTGTAGAAAGATCCTCAGACTTCAAACAGGAGCAAAGAAAGGTAGGCATTCTTGCCAAGTCAGACTCTCAGATCTCCATCTGCAGAGTTCAGTGGAAGCAGAGTGGTGAGAGTCCTTTTGTTTTCCTTTTTCTACATTTAGATTAGCAGGAGAATATATCTGTGGAGATAATTCCTTGGGCTTAGTGACTTTGGGTTATTTGGTATGAGTACTCTCAGTTTTTTGGATCCTTTCCTCCCAGAGATGGGCACTGTTGTGCTGTTATGTAATTTGTCTTGGCCTATGTTTTATTTTATTTTTTTAATTTATTCTCACCCGAGGACATTTTTGCATTTATCTTCAGATAGAGTAGGAGGGACAGACGGAGGAAGAGAGAGAGAGAAACATGGATGTGAGAGAAACACTTTGACAGGTTGCCACTCACTCGACCCCAACTGCGGCCAGGGACAAACTGCAACTGAGACATGTGCCCCTAGCAGGAACCAAACCCAGGATTCTCTGGTCCGTGGGCTGACGCTCTAACCGCTGAGCCAAACTAGCTAGGGTTTTTTAAAATTTTTTTATTGATTTTAGAGAGAGAGGAAGGGAGAGGGAAAGAGAGGGAGAGAAACATTGATGAGAGAGCACATTGATTGGCTGCCTTCTGCACCCCCCCCCCGGGGGGGATTTGGCCCACAACCTGGGCATGTACCCTGACCGGGAATCGAACCAGCGACCTCTTGGTGCCATGGGTCGACGCTCAACCACCAAGCCACACCAGCCGGGCAATCTTGGCCTGTGTTTTGAGAGCTTGGTTTTGACCTCCTCTTTGGTCTTTTCCATCGGAATGTGCATATATCAGTATGCATTTGGCAGCCAAATAGACTGGGGATTCATGTTATAACTTTTTTTTTTAATCCTCACCCGAGGACATTTTTACATTTATCTTCAGATAGAGCAGGAGGGAGATAGGGAGGAAGAGAGAGAGAGAAACATGAATGCCAGATAGACACATGAGTGGTTGCCACCCACAGGACCCCAACCAGTGCCAGGGACAAACTGCAACCAAGGTACTTGCCCTTAGCGGGAACCGAACCCGGGACTCTGGTCCATGGGCTGACACTCTAACCGCTGAGCCAAACCAGCCAGGGCTCATGTTATAACTTTTGCAAAATTTGTCAGCAAGAAAAAGAACTCGGTGTGATGAAATTCTCATAAGTAATCTAAACGTAATTGAGAAAAAAATAAATTAAATAGATGTAAATAGAATAAAAGCTTTTTTAGGTGAACTTTTGAGCAATCATTATACTTTATATGTACTTGAAAATGGTTTCCTAGATCTCTTCAATAACTTGAAACATTAAAGCGTTGCTAAATCAGTGCTCGCTTCGGCAGCACATACACTAGAATCGGGACGAAACAGAGATCAGCAGGGCCCCGTGCAAGGATGACACGCAAATTCGTGAAGCGTTCTATATTTTTAAAAATAAAATTTTTACCCTTGAAAGGAAAAAAAAAAAATTAAAGTGTTGATAAATTAAATTAAATGATGGAAATTCATTGACTATCCAGAGCATTTCCAAATGAGACAAAATAGTGAAATATTCATCACTGAACATAGATTTACTTAGTTTTGGCTTCCTATTATAGAGGAGCTAAAGAAATTTGGGTCTGTTAGTAAATGTGTCTTGTACTTCCCTGAAAGGTTGTACTATGAAAAAGCATGTATTACACTTACCTGGCAGGGAGATACCATGATCGTGAAGGTGATTTTCCCAGGGCGAGTCTTGTCCATTGCACCACGGATGTGCTGACCCCTGCGATTTCCCCAAATGTGGGAAACTCCACTGCACAACTAGTGGTAGTGGGGGACTGCGTTCGCGCTCTCCCCTGGGGGGGGGGGGGGAGCATGTATTCTAGAAGTTATGGAATGTGTTTGTAAATTTATTGATCTAAAGAATACTGGTGTAACAGATAGTTTACAACTACTTACTAGTTTTCACTAAAAATTAAGGTTTCTAAGGGTTAAAAATTTTAATCAATGTGGAAGAAAATAACATATTTTCAGTAATAGAAATCTAGGTATAAAAATACATTTTTGAGAGAATTAAAAAAGAAAAGATTTGTCCCCAAAATAAATTTGTTGTTTCTGAAGGGGTAAGAGAACAAGAGACAAATGAAAAGGAACACAGAAACTTGTAGAAGGTTTGTGAAAAGAAATCTTGAGAAAGAAATTTTATGTGTGATCAAACTGGATAAGATTAAATGAATTTGTTAGAAGGGTTGTTTTAAAAAGCTTTAATATCAATAATGTACTTAAATTTAATATTCTCTTATCTGCTGAAAGGACAAAGTTTTCCTAGACTATTGTCTGCTCCTGATAAGATACTGTGAAAAGTTTTCTGCTGAAAAAGCAAAGATTTTAGTTTTACCAAGATAATTTTGTTTTATGCTGTCATATTAGGTCTCTGATTACTTAAGAAAACCGAACCCCCTCAAGAGTAAGAGCTAACTTTCTGTACTTGAAATGCCCTAGCTGACTTGCATGCCAAGGCAGCAGCAACGGAATCTATAAAGGCTGCGGCACATGTGGATGAAGTCCATTCTGCTTCTGCAAAAACAACCCCTCAATGCCAGACTTTGGCCACCTTGATGCCCGTGGAATATGACAACAGTCTGATACTGAATCAGAGAAACTAAGATGGGAAAACAATGGCTGTAAGTTAAACAAATAGTCAGGGCTATGGGAGATCCGAGACGGATGCTTGGTTCTTGGTGCGTGGGACTATGTTCAATCCACTGAGCCACGCTGACTGGGCTTGGAAGCTTGGTTCTATTAGGCTCCCTTGCAAACCTCAGTTTTTTGGTTTTTGCATCTTTTCATCCACCATAGTGCACTTAAGCGGGCCTTCACTCAAGTGCCACTTAGTATGGGTTATGAGTATGTTCTTGTTGTATGTATGTTTTCCAGATGGATTGAAGCCTTCCCCTGTCAAGGCTGACACCTTCACAGTGGCAAAGGAACTGTTAGAAAATGTGTTTCCCACATGAAATCTACCTTCCATACTCTCTAGTGACCGAGGCACACACTTCACTGAGCAAATCATACAAGTCTTGACAGGAAGTCTTACAAACTTCTTGGAATTATCACTAACCCTATTCCTCTCAATCATCCAGCAAGGTCCAGAAAACTAACGGAAAAATTGGATTCAAGCACAGTTTTAATTACATAAGACTGAATGAACTGATAAGAATGGTTACAGCCCTGGCCAGTTTGGCTCAGCAGTTGGAGCATCGGCCCTGCGGTCCAGAGAGTCCCGGGTTCGGTTCCCGCTAAGGGCGTGTACCTCCATTGCAGTTTGTCTCCGGCCCCGGTTGGGGTTGTGTGGGTGGCAGCCACTTGATGTGACTCTCTCACGTTGATGTTTCTTTCTCTCTCTCTTTCCCCCTCTCTCCCTCTCGCTCTATCTGAAGATAAATGCAAAAGAAAATTTCCTTGGGTGAGGATAAAAAAAAGAAAAGAAAAAAGAATGGTTACAATTTTTTTTAATTCTTACCTGAGGATATTTTTACATTTATCTTCAGACAAAGTGGAAGGGAGAGCGAAAGAGCGAGCGAGAGCGAGAGCAAGAGAGAGAGAGAGAAACATCAATGTGAGAGAGGCACATGGATTGGTTGCCACCTGCACGAACCCAACCGGGGTCAGGGACGAACCACAGCCAAGGTCCACGCCCTTGGCCAGAACCAAACCCGGGACTCCCTGGTCCGCAGGCCGATGCTCTAACCACCGAGCTAACTAGCCAGGGCAGATGGTTATAATTTTAAGACTTCTTGTTTGAGACATTGTTAGCTCTTTAATTTTTTGTTTTTGGTTTTCCAGCTATAAGTACAACTTTTCTCTCTTTTTTTAAAATCCTCCCTTGAGGACTTTTTTGCATTTAAGGACTTTTTTGCATTTATTTTTAGATAGAGCTGGAGGAAGAGAGAGAGAGAAACATCAATGTGAGAGAGACACATCGACTGGTTGCCACCCACATGACCCCAACCGGGGCTGGGGACAAACTGCAACCGAGGTATGTTCCCTTAGTGGGAACTGAACCTGGAACTCTCGAGTCCACCGGCCGATGCTCTAACCGCTGAGCCAAACTGGCCAGGGCAGCACTTTCCTCTGAAATTAACTATGACTTATAGCAATTTGGTAAGTTACACTTTGTAAGCAGAATTGAAACATCTTTTTCTCCCTACTTGATCCTTTCAGAATTCAGAAACTTTTGTTTAATTTTATTTTTCTTTATTGATTTTAGAGAGAGATGAAGGAAGAAGGAGAGAGAGATAGAAAAATCGATGAGAGAGAACATCAATTGGCTGCCTCCTGCATGACCCGCACTGAGGATTGGGCTCACAACCTGGGCATGTGCCCTGACCGGGCATTGAACCAGCGACCTCTTGATGCATGGGTCGAAGCTCAACCACTGAGCCACACCAGCCGGGCAAGGATATTTTTCTATTTATCTTCAGATAGAGTGAGAAGGAGAGAAAGGGAGAGAGAAACATTGACATGAGAGGAACACATTGACTGGCTACCTCCAGAATGGCCTTACCCCGACCAGGGCCGGGAGGAACTGCAACCAAGGTACGTGCCCTTGACCAGAATTGAACTCTCAGCTCATTGGTCCTCGGGCTGACACTCTATTGCCAAGCCAAACTGGCCAGAGCAATCCATTCTTTATTTTTATTTATTTATTTTTATCCTCACCCGAGGACATTTTTCCATTTTTTGTACAGATAGAGTGGGAGGGAGAGAGAGAAGGAAGAGAGAGAGAGAAACATCGACGTGAAGGGACACATCGAGTGGCTGCCACCCGCACGACCAACCAGGGCCGGGGACAAACTGCAACCGAAGTATATGCCCTTAGCGGGAACCGAACCCGGGTCTCTCCAGACCGCAGGCCGACGCTCTAACCGCTGAGCCAAACTGGCCAGGGCCCTAATTTATTTTTATTTATTTATTTTTATCCTCACATTTATCCTGAGGACATTTTTCACTTATCTTCAGACAGAGCAGTAGGGAAAGAGGGAGGAAGAGAGAGAGAGAAACATCGATGTGAAAGAGACACATCGAGTAGTTGCCACCCACACGACCCCAACCAGGGCTGGGGACAAACTGCAACTGAAGTACATGCCCTTAGCAGGAACCGAACCTGGGACTCTCTGGTCCGCGGGCCACAATCCATTTTTTTTTTTATCCTCACCCGAGGATATTTTTCCATTTTTTGTACAGATAGAGAGGGAGGGAGAGAGAGGAAGGGAGAGAGCGAGAGAAACATCGACGTGAAGGGACACATCGAGTGGCTGCCACCCGCACGACCAACCAGGGCCGGGGACAAACTGCAACCGAAGTACGTGCCCTTAGCGGGAACCGAACCCGGGTCTCTCCGGACCGCAGGCCGACGCTCTAACCGCTGAGCCAAACTGGCCAGGGCCACAATCCATTTTTAATTTAATATAGTAACTAGATCCAATAGATTCCAGTTTAGAGAAAATTTTATATTCTACTTAAAAACATGGGAACTATTTGTTTCTGATATGTGATACTTGAACAATACCTGGAAAATACTGAGTGTATTGGAGGATAGTGGACTACAAAGTCTGAGCAGATTTAATATAAAGTTTAATCTCAGCGTCCTGGCTGGTTTGGCTCAGTGGTTAGATCGTGGGCCCACGGACCAAAGAGTCGCTGGTTTAATCCCGGTGGAGGGCACGTACCTTGGCCATGGTTCGGTCCCCAGTCCTGGTCAGGGTTGTGCAAGGGGCAACCAATTGATACGTCCCAGAATTCAGAAACTCTCAGTGAGTATTATTTTCACGGCAATATTGCTTTTTGATAAGTTCAATAAGAATCTGTCCTTCTTGTAACAGGACACAATTGGAAACTAGTTATATACAGATTCAGGAACCTCAAGATATTTTGGGGACATGAAAAAGATAAGAATTAACCCAAATCTAAAGGTATTGCTGGCAAAGTCTGATGGCAAGACCTTGGCTTGGCTTTTCTGGCCTTGAGATGCCATTTAAAGTTCAATCTGTAGATTCCTAATGAAAAATTCCAGAAAAGCAGATTTAAAAGATCTATGATCAGATGCTATTTCTTGTTGTAACTATACAAATAACAGGCCAAGTTTATTAAATTAGACTTATTTTGCAAACAAATTAGTTTTCATTTGGCTATCTTTGGTAAAAATGGAGATTTTATTTTTTATTTTTTTAATCATCAGAGAGAGTGGGAGGAAAGGAGTGAGAGAGAGACAGAGAGAAACATCGATGTGATAGAGCCACATCGACTGGTTGCCCACACGGCCAGGGACTGAACTGCAACCGAGGTACATGCCCTTGACCAGGAATTGAACCAGTGACTCATTGGTCCACGGGTCAACGCTCTAACCACTGAGAAAACCGGCCAGGGCAAAATGGAGATGATTTTAGAGAGAAAATTATGTTTCACTAATATACCTTTGTGGATAATAGATTATAGTACTGTCCGTTGTCTTTTGAAGATTTTTTTTCTTTTCATTTAAGCATTTCAATAAATAAAGCATCACAGCTGAGATCTGAAATCAGTCACAGATAAGAGAACTGCTAGGCTCAAGTGGTGACCGTGAAGCAACTACTGCAGAGGAACGCATGGCCACGTGCACGCTGAGCCTACAGAGCAGAGACTTGCTGCAGGCACCACACACACCACCTCTGGAGAGAGAACTAAAGCAAAGGAAAAGCAGAAGACTGGGTAACATCCATGCAACCACCACCGGATTACACCTTCACGCTGCAGAATCAACTGCGAGTTGTGTTCCTTTTAGATAAACTTTTAGGTAGGTTCCTGATCACATTAAGTG